CCATGTTGTTCTTCACGGACATCATCCACCGATTCGGAGTCCCAAACTCCATCATAACCGACAATGGCACGCAGTTCACGGGGAAGAAATTCCTCTGGTTCTACGATGACCATCACATCCGCATCGACTGGGCCGCCGTAGCGCACCCCCGCATGAACGGGCAGGTCGAGCGCACAAACAACATGGTCCTACAGGCCTCAAGCCTAGGATCTTCAACCGGTTGAACAAGTTTGACGGACGGTGGGTCGCCGAGCTTCCCACGGTACTCTAGAGCCTAAGGACGTCCCGCAGCCGAGCAACCGGCTACGCGCCGTTTTTCATGGTCTACGGCTCCAAGGCCATCCTCCCAACCGACCTCGACTATAGAGCGCCGAGGGTCAAGGCCTACAACGAGCAGGGAAATGAAGCATCCTTGGAAGACGCCATGGACCTACTTGATGAAGCGCGCGACATCACCCTGCTCCGTTCGTCCAAATACCAGCAGGCGCTACGACGGTACCATAGCCGACGCGTGCGAGGTCGCGCCTTTGGCGTAGGCGATTTAGTCCTTCACCGCATACAGAGCAACAAAAATGGCCACAAGCTTTCAAATACCGGAAGGACCGTACATCATCGCAGAAGTATACTCGACCCGCACCTACAAGCTCAAGACTAAGGACGACAAAGCTATCGCCAACGCCTAGAACATCGAACAACTGCGTCGCTTCTATCCTTAGTCTTCCAGTTCCAAAGCTTTCAATATGCTTATCAAACTAAGTTACTGCCTGTTCGCTTGAACTTATCAGACGTACCGTTTCAGCGAAATAACAATGCTTTTCTCTCACAATAAATCAACATCAACATCGTACTGTTTTTCCAGAGTTTACTCCCTCCGTTCCAAATTATAAGTCACTTTTACTTTTTTGGTTTATCTATTTTGCTATATGTATCTAGATATATTATTATTTCGGATACATAGCAAAATGGATGTAACATAAAAAGTCAAAACGACTTATAATTTGTAACGGAGGGAGTAAAACATTATTTTTTCTAGGGCAGAGAGTATTAATCAAAATATTATTGTTTGGGACAAAAGTAACATAATATAAAGAGAAAACGGAAGCATGCATTTTATTAATCGGAAAAGCTACAGTGAGGACATCCGATCCTCCGAACGCTCCCGTTCGTGGTCCGCAACCCCAGCCCAATGGCCCAATAGTCGTAACCTCTCCTCCACAACTCCCTAACCGTAGCCTCATTGCCTCCATTCTCTAGAAAAAATCACATAGCTCGAAGCGGCCACGCCACCGATGTTCTCCACGGTGGTCAGGCCCAACGGCAGCATCTCCACCGTGCCCGAGCGTGCCCGCCCGCCTTGATCCCTCTTCATCGCGCCTCTCGACTGCCTGCCTGCCTTCCTCCCTCTCCACCGCGCCTTCGGCCCGTCGCGGCCTTCTCCACTGGAGCAGCGACAACTCGCGCCGGACTCGTCACGGCCTTCTCCACCGGAGCGGCGATAGCTCGTACTAGCACGAGAGCGGGAGCGCCACCATCCCGCGCCGCGCCGATCCACCTCGCCCGTCACGGAAGGGAAGCAGGGGAGGCCTGCGCCTGCGCCCCCATCCACCTCGCGCCACCGTAATTCCCCACCAGGTTGGTCATGGCGCAGCGCAATCTTTGTTTTCGGATGTTTTTCGGACATATTGCAAGCTTATTTCTTAAGTCTTTCCGTTGTTTCGTATGTATGTTTCAATTGTTTCATGCGGATGTTGCAAAAGTAGATTTGGATGTTGCATATGTTGCAATGGTTGTACAAGTATATGTTACAAGCGTCTATCCCTAATGTTTTATCTATTTTTTTGTACACGTAGGTCTGAAACACTTGCAACGCACGGTTACCGGCTCTGCTGCTTGCCATGCTCGCATCACGTGTGATATCTTCCCTGCACCATGGATCTCTTCCTCTCCATCTCGGATAATAAATCCCTAGCTTCCTTGAGCCATTTCCTTGATGAAACCACCATCGACATTTACATTCTTCACACCGTTTGGGGGGCCACTCCATTTATTTCGCCATTGTCTTATGGTAATCCATGCGAGCTCCTGATGATCTATTCGTTGCTTAGGTTTCAGGAGGAGAATGTGCTCCACACACTGTTTGCCGTCTAACAACACACTTAGCTCCACTCTGACGTCCTCAACCCCGTCGTAGTTACCGTCAAATCCCAAGTGAGTGTTGCGTTGTGTGTCCGTCAACCTCGATTACGGCCATTGCTCGGCCCGCGCCAAGATTGGTCGGGCATTATTTTGTCCTGTTAGAACGCACAGGTATGAAACTCTTAGCGAAACTTGCTAAACTGTTTCTCGTCATCCTATGGGCCGTTTTGGGCCTTAAAAATTAACTGGGCCTCCGTGCAGCGCGCTTGATCCGACGGGCCATACATGAATAGTAAATCAAATCACTACCGGCGGAGTCAGTAGCGTAGCGTGTACCGAGCGAGCAGGTTGCACCGTGTTGGGCTATTGGCTATTCACCGGCGGGCGAGGCCTCCCGGACCCCGTTCGCGCGCCGCCATGAGCTCCTCCCACCCAAAGATCGCCGGTGTCCACGTTAGAGATTAAAATCAAAGGAATGGGTCCATTTGCAAGTCGCCGCCTCGGATTGTATTCTCGATCGTCGCCGTGTCCGATGGCCGGACACGTAGGACGCGCGTGGCTGCTGGCCGGCGAGATTTTTTTCTCTCCCGAGTTCAGGTACAGAACGAAATGGAATGGAATGAAATCCCTAATTAATATATATATATAATTGCTTTTGCTAAGTTTTTACTGCTTATTTAATTCCAGTCTTCATTTCAAGTTTGATGGTCTTTCTGCCTTTTTACTTTTTGTATAATATACTTACTTACTTTCAGCTTTGTTTTCTTTCATACAAGAAAACTAAAGAAAATATCTGGAAACCCATAAAAATCTCCCGAGTTCAGGTACAGGACAGGATGGAATCCTTATAAAAAAAACATGTGAACAATGTCCGCGCATGTGTAAAGAAGAGTTGGATTGCAATCACGGGGAGTAATTTGAAGATCTGTCGGATCCATCGTGGACACCATGAATATTTTTGTTAAAAAAAATCTATGGAGGATGAGAGTTAGACGGTGGTTGGATGAAGTGTACAGCTTGGATTGTCCTGAATGATCTGATGGCCGGTGTGTTTCGTTAGTGCTTCTGCTGGGTGGTGAAAATATCTACAGTCAAATTTTGATTTTTAAACCTACTTCCCATGATGATAGTTTGCTTCAATTTACTGAATAAATTGTGGTTATAGTCACAAACAGGAGCCGAAAGTCAGTTTCTAGAATTTTACTTGCAATACGACGCGCTGTCTCTAGTTACTCTTCAATTCAAGAGACAAAGTTTTGATGGTTTCAGAGGAAGAGGTTGTTCACCACCTCTTACGCCTAGCTTAGCGGTCAATTTTTATTCGCTAACCTTCTTTTTTGCATGGGCCACGGGCGAATCCAGTGTGGGGGCTCAAGCCCCCCTATCTCTATCTGCTGAAGCCCCCGTCCGCTCCTCAGCATGGCATCATCTCTACTGGGTACAAAGGTCCAAAGTTTACCCTAAAACGTGCTCTTGGCTCTGCATCTTTAATACGTACCTGACACTGTAGTTCACCTGATGAGCACAGGGAAGAAACACTGCGGTCCTTTCCCCTACCTAACCTTCAGTGTAGGAACCAAATGCCCATATCATTTTTTAGGTAAATTCCAAAATGAACGAATGTTTAGTGTTTTCTAGAGCAATTTTCTCTAACTAGTTATGTTATATAACATTGTTTTGCTAGGAATGTGCCCTTACTACAGGCTTGCGGAAAATCGGCGTCCCTTACTAATACAACTTTCTGATCCCTTTTTTTACTCTCATTTTTAAGAGTAAAAAGGGCTTTTAAGTTCTTCTACTAATTAAGTTGGGTCTATTTATCAACATCTTCAATGGCGGAACCAGGGGTGTCTAGCAGGGGCCACGCCCCCACCCCCAACACCATGCAAATTTTTTAACCCTGTTTAGATTTCGAAGAAGACACATAAACAACAAAGTGGATGGAATCATAATTTTACTGTCTCCTACCAAACATTTACTGTCTCTATTTTCATACCAATAACCTTTGAGAATCTTAAATTGTGATTACAATACTTTTAAAAATATAGAATAAGTTTAGCCGACCCCTCCACTTAAAATTTCTAGTTGCACCACAGAACATCCTGGCATTGGTAGTCCCCTCGCTTGAACATGCTTCGTTTCGCTTTGCTTGTACTTTTTGTGCATATTTGGATCAACATTTTCTAACCTTCAGGCTAAGACTAGAATGCTTAATAGTGTCATGAATTCAAATTGTAAACAATAGTGTATGGCTACGTATTGTATGGCTGAATAGAACCATAAAAACTGTGGTGTCCGACCATGTAATGAATGATCATGTTGTATGGCTGGACAGAACCATAAGAACCACGATGACCAGACCGTGCTATCAGCACTATGAGGACATAGAAGATTTGTGGTTGTTTTGTAATTTGTGCTATGTATCTGTTGTGGGTGATATTCTTGATATATTTGTGATGGTAACGATGGTTATTATATATAAATGTCTATATGCTTAGATCTCAGTGATATAAAGCCATGCTTGTCAAACATGGGCACTGCTAGATTTGCGTTCGCCTGCTGGTTTCAGCATCTTTTCTTTCTCCTTGGACGTGTCCGAGAAAAATCTGTCAAGCTAACACTGGACGGCCAACGCACCAAACACAGACCTAATAATCAATCATCAGCCCAGCCCACTCCACTCGGACGCCAAAATAGCCCGCGCCGCTCGCATTATTGTGGCAGCCACCACCCAGTTCCAATTCCAAACTAGCTTGGCTTCGACCGGTTGCCTCCTCCCTCGCCTTGCTTACAAGCCAAAGCCTCGGGCTTGTCTTTCTCCTCCCGTGCTCGGCCCTCGGCTCCAGTGCGGTGCTCGCGCTCCAATGGAGGCTCCGCTCCTCGTCCCCGTCTCCACCGTCCCCGCCGCCTCATCCTGCGTCGACATCATCACCGCCGACGCCGCACCGTCCGGCCGTCCGGCGCCCTCCTCCTCCTCCTCCTCCTCCTCCTCCGTTTCCACCCAGAGCATCGTGCTCCGCCTGGCGGCCGTGATCACCGTCGCGTGCGCGTCCCTGTCCGCGCAGCACGAGGCCGCCAAGGGCTTCGCCGTCGCCGTCGCGAACGACGCGCCGCGTGGCAGCGCCGTGGCGCGGCGGTTCGACCTGCTCTTCGTGTCCAACGGCCGCGCCGAGCGCGCCCTCCTGCACGCCAGCCGCGGCGTGGAGCGCGCGCTGTTCCTGGACCCGTCGTTCCCGCGCAGGCAGGTCCGCCGCGTCACCGTCCGGATGTCCGGCCACAACCTCACCGCGGGCGCCGTCGGGGCCACGGTGCACGCCGCGGCGCCCGGGGAGTACGTCGTCTCCTTGAGCCCCGGTCTCGTCGCGTCGACCTCCGCCGACTCCGCCGCCGACGCCGTGGCCGCCGCGATGCGCCGCGCCGTCGCGCGCATGTGGCTCTGGGACGGCCGCGGCGCCGCACCCGCGCGCGTCACCGAGTCCATGGTCGAGTACCTCGCCTCCGTCGCTGCGGCCGGCGACGGTGCCGAGGCCGAGGCGGCGGCGACACCTCTGTCGGCCGAGGACGGGCACGGGTGCAGCATGTCGGCGCGGCTGCTGAGGCACCTGGAGGCGCGGCGCGAGGGCTTCGTGGCGCGGTTGAACCGGGCGATGAAGGACCGGTGGAGCGACGCCGCCGTGGACGCCGCGCTCGGCGCGCCGGCCCGCCTCGCCTGCGCGGCTGCGACCACGACGACGCCGCCATTGACCGGCCAGGACGACGACCCCACCGCCGCGCTGGCCGGCTCCACGTCGGACGCCGCCCGTGGGTCCAGCGTGGAAATGTGAGGCCGGGAAGCGAGGGCAGTCCTGCGCCACGCATCCGGTGTAGTGTATTGGTAGTGTATATTAAAATTAAACCACACCATTAGCGTCGGCTAATCTCGGCGGGTGGGCCATGGCCGCGGCCCTAATGGTGGCTGGAGGTGAGTGGGTGGTCGCTGTCATGCATGGTACCCTCGGTAGTTTCATCATTTCATTATGCGCCATTGTAGATGCTTGAGCTCCACAGCTGCTTGTAAATGGTGGTGGTAGTACTATAAAAATGTGGTTAGTACATGTCATACCAAACGTGATGTGAGAAGTAGATTTTTGTTGGTGACGTGGATGGACATGGTGGTTGATAATGATACGAAGAAGGTTCTAGGTCTCCGGCATGATCTGTGTCTCAGCAAATCGCAGCGGCCGCCCCAGGAGCTGGCGATGTGTTCTATATAATGAGTGCCAAAATTCCTGTAAAGCCAATCCAGCGTTCATACTGTTCCACCGAGCTGGTAACAAAACGGCTGTCATAGAAAATGTAGGCAGTAAAAGGAAGCACAAAAGTGCTCAACGGCATGCCCTTCAAATAAAATATAGCACAAACAGATATTAACACAAGCAACAAGGCAGAAAAGAAAACAAACTATATACAGTTCAGATTTTATACCCTCATTCGCCTGTTACAGTGAAAGCACACCAATAAGCTGGTAGAGATAGTTTGACACTAAAACTGTCGGATAAGATATCACTAGCGCAGTTGATTTTTCTTCATTGTTGGTAGCTGATTCATCTTCGCCAGCGTAGGCAGCGTTCACAACTGAAGCCACCATCATGGGTGCCGGAAGAGTTGCACTGTCCTCTCAACTGACCGAGTGATAAGAAGGAAGATCATTGGGAGCAGATCAAGCAACACTGGGATGAACGCCGCCAGGGACCAATACCACGTTCGTTATCATCTGGTTCATCAAGAGCAAGAGTTAGTTTAAATCAAATTGGCATAAAATATATCCAAGTATATATGCTATAACATTCTACTCCGTCCACAAGGTTGCTTGTAGTGCAATGATCTCGAGGCTACACGTAGGCAGATCAATGTCGGAGGCATTTGCTCTTTTCACTCGAGATGCAAGTCATGAGGCAGAATTGAATGATGTGGACCATGGTCAGTGTGAGCTTGTGCTGTCCTAGGTGCACTTGAGACTAGAAAGTGGGTACATTCGTACATAAGAAGGAAGTTTTGCCTCTCACATTTCTGTTCTCGCACCTTTGAAATGTTGGTGTATTGACAAAGGTGCGGTGGAGGCATTCAATCAATGCTTGTGAAGAACATGGACAACCTTGATAAATGGCATGGAAACCAATGGAAGGGGCAGAGAGGCATTGGAGGTCGTCTCATCCATGCACAAATGCAGTATAATTCTTAGTTACAAACTAGGATTGGATCCCTGTGCCTAGATTAGGCACTGTTGGAACCCTAGTGCCCCAATCTATACCCATTCCTGCTAGGGTTAGACCCAACCTAATTCAAATTTAATCATCTAACTGCGTACACCTCTCGGTGCGAGCTTGCCATGCCATGTTACATGCGATGGCGGCAGGCATGGCCGCAACTCAAACGAACAAACGAAAAAGGAAGGCATGGTTTGGAGATGATACCTTGTGGTGCAATGAGTCCGACCAGCTGATGAGGGTCAAGGTGGGAGGAATCGCCCGCTCAAGTCTCATGACCATGGCCATGGCGGCGGCGGCCGCTGCAATGATGTGGTAGGGCGGAAAGGATAAAGAGTAACAATGGCCGACACACACGCGAACCCGGACGAGTCGCTATTGTTTTGGAAAGACAGTAGCGGATGGGGATGGGGTCGGTCCGCCCGCTCCGATTTTGAATGAATGGAGGGTTTTTGAATTAAATTTTCAGGTCGGTGCTGCCCCCCCTCCGATTTTGAATTAATAGAGGGTTGTTTTAGTTAACTTCACCAAAAATACATTTCCTTTTTTAAAGGAAATGCCATTCGTCGAACAAATTGTCTCGTGCCCATGTGACCTAGTTTGGATCAGATTTGTGGACAGCTCGGTGTGAGACACCGGTGTGGGGTCCACACAAAAGATGTTCTACTCGTCAAGCCCTACAACTTTGCTCATATGACTATGGCCATTAGGGATCTAGATTAATGGGTAATTAGTGTCAAAGTTGATAATGTCAAGCTGTTTTTAGGGTTTAAGTACATACTGTTTTGACTGTGATTTTGAGAGGTCAAACTGAGTCAAACCGAGGTCAAACTTGGTCAAACTCTAATTCAAAGTTCAAACTACAACTTTTATTTTTGGACTAAGTTGGGTTGTTTAATAAAATTCGAAAAACGTTGCTTGTCAACATGAATGTTGATCATATTCAGGACATAAATATTCTAAGTTAATCTAGAAATTTGAATCGGATTGAAACTTGGGGTGCTTAAAATAGCTTGTTTAAGACATTTGACCACTTAAGCTTTGCACCACTTCTAAGCACATGACTTGTACCACATTCCATACTTTGGTGAATTTTGAAGTGTTTAATAAAATATCCATTTAATTTGCCTCCAAAAAGGCAAATTAGCTATTTAGTTTAAAATATGAGTTTGATTTTATTTAATCACCTTCGTCCCAATATTCTAAGTTAATCACCTCTGTCGGCCGAGGACGGGCACGGGTGCAGCATGTCGGCGCGGCTGCTGAGGCACCTGGAGGCGCGGCGCGAGTGCTTCGTGGCGCGGTTGAACCGGGCGATGAAGGACCGGTGGAGCGACGCCGCCGTGGACGCCGCGCTCGGCGCGCCGGCCCGCCTCGCCTGCGCGGCTGCGACCACGACGACGACGCCATTGACCGGCCAGGACGACGACCCCACCGCCGCGCTGGCCGGCTCCACGTCGGACGCCGCCCGTGGGTCCAGCGTGGCAACGTGAGGCCAGGAAGCGAGGGCAGTCCTGCGCCACGCATCCGGTGTAGTGCATTGGTAGTGTATATTAAAATTAAACCACACCATTAGCGCCGGCTAATCTCGGCGGGTGGGCCATGGCCGCGGCCCTAATGGTGGCTGGAGGTGAGTGGGTGGTCGCTGTCATGCACGGTACCCTCTGTAGTTTCATCATTTCATTATGCGCCATTGTAGAGCTCCACAGCTGCTTGTAAATGGTGGTAGTAGTACTATAAAAATGTGGTTAGTACATGTCATACCAAATGTGATGTGAGAAGTAGATTTTTGTTGGTGACGTGGATGAACATGGTGGTTGATAATGATACGAAGAAGGTTCTAGTCTCCGGCATGATCTGTGGCTCAGCAAATCGCAGCGGCCGGCCCCAGGTGCTGGCGATGTGTTCTATATCGATCGCTGTCAGTGATGCAGTTGAGCATGGCTAGTGGTCATGGGTGAAGAAGGACATGATATTTTCCAGCCTGTAGGATTGCAGTTGAGCAGTGATCCCAGAAACAGAAGGTCGAACCATGTGAGGCTAGGTTGGAGTCGCCTCAGCTGTGAATTTGTGAACCACAGAAACACCCACCAAACCAAGCCATCCAGATTGGCCAAAAAAAAAGACAAACTTTGAGTTTCATGTTCAACCTAAAAATTCAAACTGATGTCAAAAGGTGCAAAATTGAAGTTCAGCGCTCCCCTCGAGCGACAGGATTCTGCACAAACTTGGGCTGCCTTGGCATGGAGAGAGCATGCTTCATGCAGGCAGGTCGCAGTCTGCACTTGGCTGTCTGTAACTCTGTATGAAACCCATATGAGCTGTTCGTGGTTCCTTCATCCTCCATCTTCGTCAGTTTCTTATACGGCAACCAACCTCGTGCTTCTCCATTCCTACATTCCTCTTCAGTTTCTTATTATACAGAGCAACTTGCGTTTCTTGTATTGTATACAGAGCAAACGGAGTACAGACATGTTGTGGTCAATGGCTCCATATACATGTCATGCGTGTACGGAACCTGGATGAGAATAAACAACAGCAATAATGCAAGCATGCCGGAGGACACCATCGGAGCAAAATACATACATTTAAACAAGAGTCCTTTTTCATAGGCGGAATAGCCGATTTTGTCCTCAAAGTATTGCTCAAGGCTCACTTTTGTCCCTGAACTACGAAAACGGCCGTTTTAATCCTCCAACCTTCTCAAACGGCTCAAATTCGTCCTTCTGCCGACGTGGAGCGCCACGCTGGCCCGCCTCATCATCGCCCAGTTAGCTAGGGTTTCGATTTGTCTTGAATTGACCCTTTTACCCCTCTCTTCTTTTTTACATTAGGTACAGGATAGCAGCCACCTCTCATTTCTCCCTCCCCGTGGCGACTGCACATGAGGACTAGGGTTTCGTGAGGGGGTGGACGGCGTCCTGGACGGGAGGAGTCTGGCTTCTCTTGGTTGTTTGGCGAATCCGTGGGATGAAGATCCTGGATCGCGGAGGTGCGCCGACGGTTGAAGACGAGTTCAAGTTGTACTCGAAGGATCTGAGTTTGATTTCATTTTTGGATGGAATTTGACCATGCAGTGGATCTGTAGGGCGGATTTTGACATGGCAGATGTCGAGGTATTAGCTGTTAGATTTCATTTCAACGGGGAATTTGTTCTTAATGGGTCGCAGATGCAGTATTGTGATGAGGATTTGGGAGTGTCACACATAGACAAGGATAAATTATCAATTGGATCACACAACCTTTCATAGATTTGTTAGGATGTACTGGTTGCCAATTGGTGCAAAGCTAAATAGTGCAATGAGGCTGCTTGTAGATGATAAGTCATGCATGGACATGCTTGATGAGATAGGTTCTGTTGGGGCTGTGGACATATACATTGAAGTAATTGAGTTGGACATGAGTGGCAATGAAGGTACATAGATACAATATGGTGATGATGATGTGTTGACCTGTTTTGAGATGATAACATAATGAATTTGGATGCTCCAGTAGCTCTTAAGGATGGTCAGAATGGACAAAATGGTGACCAACATGTAGAAAATGAGGAGGATGAGGAGGAAGAAGAAGACAGTGAT